ACTTTATTGGCTCAATGTTAGAATCCAGGCCACCAACATTCGCGAGTCTTTAGTTTCATCGAGTTGCTGCGCAGTGAAAACCATATCACCCCGGGTTTGATCCCCGGACGAAGCACGGTGTCGTGTGGAAACAGGTTTGCGAAAACTGAAGATGCTACATTTAATAGTGTAATTTAAGACTATGGGATAGTAAGTACTCTAAAAAAAGACTTGTTCTTCTTCATCAATGCCCTAAGTAAAATTTCTTACTTAGGTGTGAGTTTAGAAAGCTTTTGACAATGTTTTTGCGAATTCGGCGTGTATCATTCTAATACATTTATAATTATAATAATAAATATTCATGGCGATCTTGGTAGTCCAACGGTTTATACTGTGGGCGCTGGATGAGAAGGTCCCGGGTTCGATTCCCGGTAGGACGCACTTGAAAAAGGGTTTTTACTCTGGTTTTCATAGTACAGGGAATTCCCTAGTTTGAGAACAGGCAGTTGGTGTGCTCACGGAAGAAAAACAATTATGTGGTCTGTGGGTGTGGTTCTCCGGTACAATATTTTTATTAATAGTTGAATTATTAATTCAATTATTGTTTGTGAAATTACCCCGTTTGGTCTGGTTGGTTGAAATGGTTTGTTCCATGGCTTAGTTAGTAGGTATAGTGTCTGGCACGGATCCGGCCGGATCGATGGAATTTTTCCTAAGTGTTCGATTGTATGTAATTTGTATTAATAATTACAATAGTTTGATTATTTTGAGGGTTCCAAATCAATGCTTCCAATGAACACTACACGAACGTAATTTTTGGTCATTTTGAGTTTTTATTTTATTTCTTTTTCTTTTTTTTCACAAAATTCTTTTTTTCTTTATTTTCTTTTCACGAAATTCGAGAAGCTTAATATTAGGAAATAAATAAGGCTGTTTACATTAAAAACAGAACATTACCAAAAATTAAGTCAGCATAGTATTTATTGGAGGTATTGAAATAATAATGCCCGATAAATGACAGCTTGATTTTATAACAACTTTTCAGGAGACAGGTTTAAAGTTTATACGAACGAAAATAATTGATAACTTTTTTATCTTTAAATAGAAGAGGTATAAAATATCACATTATACATCATCTCTTTCATATTGTTCATAATATTTTTAAGACTTTTGTGTGATAACAGAACTTTTATCGTATAATTACGACATGTGGATTTATTATACCATTTATTTTGCAGAATAGAGCTGAGTGAAGAAAATTAAAGCAATAATTTACCCAGTGTTAGGACAGTTTAATATAATAATTTTCTCTCCTATTTATATTTCTTTGTATTAAAATGTATTTTCACTCGATTGCGAAAACAAAAAGTGATAGCAAATATTTTGTAATTATTTGTTTTATTATTGCAGTAAAAGTAAATAAATACTTTACACCCGCAGCCTTATATTGTTTGAGTATAATAAAAAAATTCTAAAAATAAGTTTGCATTAAAAGTCAAATGTTCTATCAAACAATACCGCATATCGGCACACGCAGCCCGAGGGAGGAAATAATTAATGATGATTGGCCTTAAATTACCCTCTCGAACCGCTAACCATCCCTTTCTCACGCACGCACTTTGCGCACACCTATCCTTTCACACTAACCGGGAAGCTATATAAAGAGAACAGGTAGGGACGCAACACACACCCTTGTGGGACACCCGACTGGACGCACCTGTGCCGCGCTGATACTCCCGCGATAGGAACTTACGCGATGGCTACCGAAACTTATGGCCACCGGCTACTGTACTCTGAAAAGGACATGTTTGGCTCCGACGTAATGTTGGAGTACGCTACTGAAGATTATTTATCATGGCCCCGATCGCCTGACTCTGGCCGATCGAGTCTGGAGCCTACTCCGTCTATCGACGGCAGCCAAGATATCGCTTACAGAGGACTCTCAAGGGATATCCTGGAAGACAGTGCTGAAGATGCTGAGATTCTGGAAGGTTCTGGAAAGAGGCGAGGAAGAGCAACTAGTGCTGCTGTGTTGAGAAGACGTCGCTTAGCAGCTAATGCTCGTGAAAGGAGGCGGATGCAGAACTTGAATAAGGCGTTTGATCGACTGCGTGGACACCTCCCATCACTCGGTGCTGATCGTCAGTTGTCGAAATACGAGACGCTGCAAATGGCACAAACCTACATAGCTGCTTTGTACGAACTGCTTCAGTAACCTAGGTATGTTTCTAAATCTTGTCAAATTAGTGATGTAGAGGAAAAGATTGGCCAAATTATGTGAACTTTTTTAGAAATTAGAAAGTACAGGGATTATTTATTTGTAAAATTTAAGTACCGATAATACTCAATAACCAGTGTTACCAGTAAGTGTTTAAGCTACTTATTTTAAGACCGTTTTACTTAAAACTTGGTTTTGAGTTACAGTTTCAAGTTTCACGAAATCTTACGCTTAATTTTTTGTATTCGTTTAGTTTTTAAGCTACTTGCCAGTGTAATCCGTCCTACCGAGTTAGCGTTTAAGTTTTGCCTAGATTATTGTCTAGAATCATCTTGCCAACGAAAGTATTATTGTGTCCAAACATTCCAAATTAGACTTTTAGGTATAGATTTTTAGGACTCGAGCCAGTATTCTGTAAATATTTGTTAGTTATTAATAGATATTATATTGTAGACTGTTTGTGAATATTGTGTCTAAGTTTTAAATAGGAAATGTTTTTTGTAAATATACGAATTTTGTTTGAAAATTTAATTTTCGTTTTCATTTTAGCCCAGGTGTTTTAATTTTGAATATGGCAAAACGTTAAAAACAAGCTTTGTTTGTAACAATACTCAATTGCGTACACTTTGTTGTTGCTTATTATAAGAACCACTGTCATTATTATATATTAAATAACATTTTACGCAAAACATAACAAAAAACCGTAAAGTGTAGCAGGGCACCTTTTTTGAAATTAAAATCTGAATCTCCGTTGGCTGAGTCGCCTACAAGAACAAGGTCTTTATTGCCATCATTGTGTTTGTCAACCTATTATGCGACTCACTGTTCGACACGGGTCTCCTTTAAGGGAAAGTTTAGACCAAACAATGTGGGTTGGAGACTTCACATGGTTTCCACGGACTGAGATTCTTCGACATATAGGTTTCTTCACGATGTCTTTCTTCACAGTTAGCGAGAAGTAATTGCTACTAAACATTTAGAAATATACGTCGCCATAGGAATAGATTAGGTTGAGGTATGGTGTAGAGATAGTTTAACCATTACTGCTTCTTTAACAATCGTGTTAACTTTAATAGTTAAAGGATTATTTTAACTCCTTTTTACAGGCTCATATCCACTTAACATCTACGCAGAAGATAACAACTAAAAATCTATAATCATTTACAACAATCGACCGGACATTCTGTACTAACTGTCGATTACTTACCACACCACATTTACATATCCCAAAAATATTCCCCCCTTTCACTAACTACACCTTAAGACTCAAAGTCCTGTAGCTATTGTTTCACAAAAGTGATTACGTAAATTTGTAAACGTACATCTGCCTAAATTTGCATAGAACTGACTGATTGTCCTGCCACTCAAGGGTTTTAAAAATGGAATAAGGGAAGTGAAATGGAGTAGGTAGAGACTCCTAAAGGGAACGATGGTATGGCCTATTTCCTTTTCAGATAACGTAGATATGCTAAATAGACGCAGATGTATTTTTTTTTGTTCAATGATGTACTTGGATATCTTTTTAGTTAAAATATTAGAAATATATTAGTTAAAATCGCACCTTTGGTGTAATAAGGTCACATCTGCAAAATGACAACTTTTCAGTCAGCAACTAAACCACATGTTAAAATAATACGGACTGCAGTATGAGTCACAATTACATAATCCAAAAAGAAAATGTAGGCAATAACTGAGCAAAAAAGTACATTTTAAATGGTAGTTTCCTATTTTTGACGCTAATAAACATTTAGAATTCTTTTCAAGCTGCAATCTGACAAAACTTGGAACAATTTCACATTTTGCAATATGTATTTTTATTCCGTTTAATAAAATAAATATAACAAAAGACTATGTTTGAGGCAGTAAATAATTTTGTGACTCTGGTATCATAATCCAGATTAAAAACATTTTTTGTGCCGTCATTTTATCGTGTTATAGATGTCTTTTTTAATGAGACTCGTCGTATGTCCCAGACAAATGATTGTAATTCACAAGCACCTTTAGCCTTCAAAAAAGGAACGCAATATTTGATGCTCACGTTTCTGCTTGGCGGCAGAAATAGGTCAGGTGGCCGTATATCCTTGGACTCTTTCACAAGGAGCTCGACTGCTTCGAAAATAGCATTAAAGTGTGTTTTATATATTTTATTTTTTTATAATATCAAGTGACGGGACGAGAAAGTCGTGCGCCTGATGGTAAGCTGCACGCCTGTCCATAACAGTTGCAGAGCCACTCAAAGCTTTAAATCTTAAAGATCTGACGGACACTGCCACTGCGCCCGTCTCCCTAAGACATAAGTAGACAAGTCCCCTTCAAAACGTGGACGCAGTAATGTTAACGTTACTGCTTGGCGACAGAATCGGTAAGGTGGCAGTACTAGCAAGGAGCTCTAATGCAAGCTAAATTTCCCACCCGTGGTATAATAATAATAATCATCATACGTCTTAAGTGGTATCACGGTCTGTGAGTGGTACAAACACATCTTCATCATCAATCCATTTAGAGGTCTAACTGCTAGGCCATGGTTTCGGGTGCTCACGGGAGGATTGGGCCATTGTCCGCCACGCTAGCCCAAACCTCTTCGCTAAAAAGTGATCATTTTGCAGATGTGATTTTTATACGCCAAGCGTGTCATGTTCATCTTAAAGTTTCAAATAAAATTAAGTGTAAACTGAGTGCAATTAAAATCGATATTACAGAAAGAGTTACTTTCCACCTTTTCCCTTAAAAAATTTTCAAAAACCCATAATTATCAAAACACACTTATATCATTCCACCGGTCTATTATTAAAACGCTCTAAGTGTGAACTTAATCAAAGGTTCTCTACATTTTTGACAGCCCGCAACAGTGACGTCTTTATTTATCGCCGCGAAACGTCGGCAACTGTCAGACTTGACAGTTTTGACAGGTCAAAGTGTCGAGTCATAGCTCATTGAGTACGCTGAGGAGTTAATATTGGTGGTGTCAATAACATTAATTAAATACGAGGTTATGATAGCAACCGCGATATCTTTTTGCATGATCGACGACTTTAGTAAATTTCTTTACGAAAGATATTTGTACATTGGGGCTGAGTATTCGGTAAAAATGCTAAACTGGATACCGACCATGCTCCAAAAGTAACTGTTTTTTGTGCCGTAGTGCTTATTTTGATTACATTTTCAGCTTTCGCAGGTCCCAGGATAAGCACTGTCGATCTCTTGTTAACTTTGCATCCTTCAATTTCTGTTTTCAATCTCACTCCTTCACTGTTCATGAGACTTTGGAACGCACTTCCCATTACAGTTCATGATAGTTAAGGGTTTTTCAACAAGAACTATGTTTTGTACATCAAAATAAAACAATAAATTTAGATGACAATGATTCAATTTTGAATTGTTTTAAAAAAAGTAAGGTTTAGCAATTATGAATGAAAAATGTTATCTGATAAATGTCCACCACGACCACAGTTACGGATGCCGATTCTTTTAACAAAGTTTGTAATCAATTTTTGACAAAATGGTGGGTCTATTTCGTTAATCATTTCACGAATTTTGAGTTTTAAGGCTGCAATCGATTCGACTCTGTCTTTAACATAACCCCATTAAAATAATCCAGAGGTGTTAAATCACATGATCGAGCTGGCCCCTTAACGGCTGAATTTCGTGAAATTATGCGATCGGGAAATTTGGTTTACAATAAATTCATTGTTGTGTGTCTGTGTACTGAGTGTATTTTTATGGGGTTACATTAAAGACAGAGTCTATGCGGAGCTAATCGAATCGATTGCAGTGTTAAAACTCAAAAGTCCTGAAGTGATTAACGAAATAGATTCACCATTTTGTCAAAAATTGATTACAAACTTTGTTAAAAGAATCGACATCCGTAACTATGGTCGTGGTGGACATTTATCAGATATCATTTTTCATTTATAATTGCTAAACCTTGCTTTTTTTAATACAATACAAAATTGAATCATTGTCATCTAAATTTATTGTTTTATTTTAATTTACAAAACAAAGTTCTTGTTGAAAAACTCTTTACTATCATGAGCTGTAATGGGAAGTGCGTTCCAAAGTCGCATGAATAGTGAAGGTGTGAGAATGAAAACAGAAGTTGAAGGATGCAAAAGATAACAAGAGATCGACAATGCTTAATAAACCTTTAAATAATAAACCTTACTTATTAGGATGCTGGTGAAATTAAAGGACCATGGGACTTGTCAACTTATGTTTCAGAGTGACGGACACAGTGGCAGTGCCACTCAGATCTTTGTGATTTAAAGCTCTGAGTGGCACCGTAACTGCAATGGACAGGCATGTCACATTCCTTGGTATTATTAAAAAAAGGTGAATGTTAACGGAAACAATTTCCTTGGTTAGTAGTGAGACGTTAAAGAGACTTTTCTATTCATGAGTAAAACGGCGCGTACTCGCAAAGTAGATGTCGTTTAATCATTCGACAGTGTATCTCTAAAAGGCTTGCCCTCTCTACGTAGAGTATTTGACATTAGCCACGCAAGCGCAGTGGCGTCTATGAATAATTGGCTCTGATTGGAGGAGCGCCGGCCAATCGCAACGAAGCTCATAGCGCACGTCTCAAGTTTAATTGTCGAATTTGTACATAAAGGACGGGTGACAGCGGAAGCAAATGCGGGCAGGTCGAGTTGTAAGACGTTTATATTTGTTTTTTTTGTGTACGACTGTACTAATACTACATTTTGACATATGTGAGCGATTATGTTTTCTATTTATGTAATTGTCTTTTTTTAACCGACGTTCTCCATTCGACTGTTCTTTTTTATTTGTGTGCATGTTCCGCGATTATTTGTATATCGATTTTGATGATTCTTTTTTGTTAGAAAGAGGGTACTTCAGTATTGGTTGCATTTAAATTTGAAGAAAATGTTCCATCTCTAAGGGTGAGAAACTAGGGGATGAATCATAGTCCCGCTCTAGAACCTCTGTACCGCGGGTACCATGGACACACACACATAGTAAACTATAAATTACACCCAAACTCATGAGAGAAATAAATGTAGGCCATATTATTTTATTCTGCGTGGCAAGTCTAAGTTTGCTTATGAGCTTTTTTCGACTTTCTTGTAGCCCCCTCATCAGATTTTGACTTGGTGACAATATGACCACCATGAGAGTGCACCCTGTCAAACAAAAAAAAATTTTTTTAAATCGATCCACAATTGACGGAGAAATCGGAAACATATATAGAACATGCATATACCAGAACGTATAACCTCCTACTTTTATTAAAGTCAGTTAAAAATATGTAAAATAATTACAAAAAAAGTCCAGCGTCAACATTTTGTTAATCTCGTTAAATATTTGGAATAAAAATCGCTTTAAGAATTAACAGGTTCTTTACTAATTACTATGAAATATTTTTTAAGTGTTACTTA